CACTCGACGTCCCCGAACATGGTGGCCATGACGATGATATGATGAACAGGTGCTTGCACAGTGCGTTGCCGCCAACGTAGCCGTTGGACACGACGGTTGAGAGATCGTGGAAAGCATCTGAGAGAACCCCTGACTTGACGATTAGCGTGGCCCTTCTTGTGCTCCACGTCATCGCGCGCGACGACGTCGCAGGCCCCGCGCAGACACTTCCGGCCATAGCGTGGGACCTCGACGTCGAGGCTGCGAAGGTCGCCGGGGCTCGGGGCGAACGCGGCCCATCCACTAATGGACGCAATGTCGACAAAGGCTCTGAACACGCTGCAGCGCACTCGTCGCGGCGTGGAAGAGGACCAAAACTTGCCCAGCACGCCGTACTCACTGCGCACTGCCGCCAAGCGGCGGGCGCGCTCCTCCGCAAGACTGCCGTTTTCATCAAGATAGGGACCCAGATACCGCGCGACCCGGCGGACTCTGCCAGGCACCACGCCGGGCGTGATGCACAGCACGCGGGCGCGCCTGGGCCACTGAAGTGAACGACGGAGTCCTGCCTGGAAACGTTCTGCACGAGGTCCGGCTGCGTGGCGTCGTCGAAGGCAGCGTTGAGCTTGTGGGAGACTTCGCAAAGGTTTGCGACATCGGCGACGCGCGCAGCATCTGCGCAATCATCAGCAAAAGTGGCGTTGGAGACGGCGATGCGCGCAGACATGCCGCGCGCCACGTCCGGCACCCACGGGCACTTGACGTAAATTCGATGCTGGTCAGCTTTGCTGTGGCATGCGTCCAGCTTGTAGTGGATCGCCGACAAACAGGATACCTGCGAGAACGTCGCCTGGTAAAGCTCCGGACCCAAGCGCCATGGTGAAGTCGCCCTCTTCAGAGTGGACGACCATGGCGGCTCGGTGAACACGCTGCCAGACGAGGGGCGCATCGAGGGGCTCGCGGAAGGCGCTACGGATGTAATTGGCGAGCTCCAAGTGCGAAACACACGCGAAGGCATTGGTAAGGTCTCTGAAGAACTGCGCCAGCGGTTGCCGGACATGCCGGAATCGGTGGCGAAGCAGCGACTGTACCAGCACGGCGGCCTCCCGACGCCAGAACGGAGGTAGCCCGCAGCATAATGCCGCGCCAGGGTATGCGTCCGGCGCTCCCAGATCTGGCCGTAGAAGTGTTTGCCATACTCGTCAAGAGTGAAGACGAACCTGGTGTCGAAAGGAGGAGGGTCCATGGACCCCAGCTTCGGGATCTGATGCAGCTTGGCAACGTGGAACATGCCTGGAGCCTGACGCGCTCGACCGATGCAAGTGCATGAGCAGCACCGCGTCCTGCAAAACGCCGGTGTCCAACGGCTCCCGCGAATGCCCCAAACCAGCAGCGCGCCTAGGTTGGAAGCGGTTCGGGAACAGCAAAATCTTCCACACAACAGTTGGGACAGACCACAGCGGCGGCTGCCGCCGCATCTTCCCGCGCCGCCGAATGCGAGACCGTGTCCGGCGGTAGCCGCGGTATGCTCACTGCTCGTCCGAGAAATTGCGTTGCGGCTGTACGCGGGAAGACACATGGTCACTGTGCCCGCGCCACAGAACGGCGTTGAATTCGATTTTTGAAGCGCTGAACCTTTTCTGCCGGCCTGGCTTGGCAAAAGCATCAACGAGAACCTGTTCTGGGATAGGGCTGGCTCGTGGGCTTGCCAGACGACGTCGACGAGGCCCAGGCGCTTTGCCGGACAGGGTGCGCACGCATCTCCAGACGGTCCCCCAATCGTGTCTACGTTGAACCTCTTGTAGATCTTCTGCGGCGTGCTCCTGACGACGCCGGCGGGTCGACGTCTGAGCCGAAACAACGAAGACGTGAACGCAACAACCGCCTCGACACCACCGGCGGAATCCTCGTCCGCAGCGTCGCTGGCCAAGACGCAGACGCGCTGCCGGGCGTGATAGCGTTCCTGACGTCCGTAGTTTGTCGTAGTGCACCTGCTGGTCCCTGGTGAGTTAAGACGGCGTCTGAAACCGGCGAGTGAACAGACCAGCTAACACAGTATGAACAGCCTTCCAGATCAGTTCCGCGACGGCGTCCGCCGTAGAGCAGCACGCGGCACTGCGCACGCTCTCCATGTCGATGGAAGAACAGACCTGGTCCACAAACGCTGCGCGTTGCTCGCCCCTTTTGTGACAACGGAATAAAGCATCGTGGTCCCATGCCGCATGTACGGGACGAGCGGGCGGCAAGATGCACGTAGTCAAGTTGTACACACCAGCGTAGAGCGAAAGGCCGGTGATCACGCCGAGAAATAGCACGTTTGATGTTTTGCCACTTATCTCCGGCACAGTGCCAAAGCTCCACATTCGACACGCGAGCCATGAGCACACTAGGGACGAGGATGTGATCGATGATGCTCGTGCTGATGCCGTTGTTGCTGGAAAACGTTGGGCCTGTGTGGAAATACGTGTTCGCCAGAGTGAGCTGGTGCCGGCGAGCCGTCTGACGAAGCAACGACCCGTTGTGGTTCTCGCGGGCACAGCCGCATGCACCCACCTCAGGCGATACCGTAGGAGTCCACGCAGATGTTTTGGCAACCTTCTCCAAACCCACATGCGCATTAGCATCCAGAAGACACACTGGTATACAGCGAGACGCAGAACAGTTGGCCATCTCGGAGAGGGATTGGTAGAAGCGGGGGGCGAGAGAGTCTCCATTCTGAGGACTATACCTAACCTTCAGGTCCCGCGATTTCCACGAACGAGTTGGCCGAGAAGAACTCCTGTTGAAGAGCAAAGCACAGCCTGTGGATTTGTTTGGGCCTGCACTCCAAGCCAGGTCATGAAAGTGCCCAGTACGAAACTGATACGAAGCCAAATCTGAACGAGCGGCCGTACCTGGAAGAGCAACCACCAAAGCACTCCGAAGCTGATCGCCGATATCGTCCCATCGAGCTGTTCGACGACGCTCTTCGCGAGAGGCGGCAGCAGCAGCGAGAGAAACCATGGTGCAACAGCGCCCGCGGGTGCAACGAGTAACATGAAATGTGGTACGAATCACGGTGATCGGAAGAGAAAGGCAGCACCAGAATGCTAGGATCTGAGCTCGCGGTGCTACCAGCATTATCATCATTAGCATCATGATCATCGTCGCCGCCGCCGTCGATCATAAACACCATCACCATCACCATCACCATTACCATTACCACCACCCTCATCATCATCATCATCATCATCATCATCATCATCATTAGCATCGTCATCATCATTATAACGATCATGAGCATGATCATCATCAGCAGCATCAGCAACAGTATCAGCATCAGCGTCATCATCATTGCCATCAGCACCAGAATCAGCACCAACATCATCGACATCATAATCATCAGCAGCATCAGCATCAGCGTCATAATAATAATCATCATCATCATCAGCATCGTCATCACAATCACTATCACCATCACCATCATCATCATCAGAAACATCATCATCAGCAGCATCGTCATCATGATCATGATCAGCATCAACATCACCATCAGCATCAGCATCATCATCATCAGCATCATCATCATCATCATCATCATTGTCATCAGCATCAGCATCATCAGCACCAGCATCAGAGCATCAGCACAGCGTCATATCATCATGACAATCACCATCACCATGACCCGTACCATCACCATCGCCATCAAAATCACCATCACCATCACCATGACCATCATCAAGAGCATCATCATTCGGAGCATGATCATGATCACTACGTCAACAGCGTCAGCATCAGCATCAGCATCAGCGTCAGCATCAGCGTCATCATCATGAAGAGCATCAGCACCATTATCATCATCAGCAGCAGCAGCATCAGCATCAGCATCAGCGTCATCACAAGCGTCATCACCATCACCATCACCATTACCATCACCATCACCGGCATCAGCATCTCAGCATCATCAGCAGCAACAGCATCAGCATCAGCATCAGCATCATCGTAATCAGCATCAGCAGCATCAGCAGCATCAGCAGCAGCAGCGCCATCATCAGCATCAGCATCAGCATCAGCATCAGCATCATCCTCATCAGCATCAGCACCATCATCATGATCATCATCCTCCTCATCATCGCAATCGTTAGCATCAGCATCAGCATCAGCATCAGCGTCATCATCATCATCATCATCGTCATCGCCATCACCATCACCTGTGCCATCACCATCGCCATCATCATCGTCATCATCATCAGCGTCATGATCATCATCATCGCCATCATCATCATCATCATCATCATCATCATCATAAGCATCAGCATAATCGTCATCATTGTCATCAGCACCAGCATCAGCATCAGCAACCTCATCATCAGCATCATCATCATCAGCATCAGCATCATCAGTATAGCGGCATCATCATCATCACCATCACCATCACCGTCGCTATCACCATCACCATCACCATCATCATCATGATCATGATCAGCATCAGCATCAGCATCAACAGCATCAGCATCAGCATCAGCATCAGCATCAGCATCATAGTCATCATCATCGTCGTCACTATCAGCACCACCATCATCATTGGCATCAGCAACAGCGTCATCATCGTCACCACCATCACCATCGTCATTACCATTAATTACCATCACCCTCACCAGCATCATAATCAAAATCAACATCATCATCATGAGCACCAGCAGCATCAGCATCACCATCATCGCAATCAGCATCGTCATCAGCAGCATCAGCATCAGCACCATCATCATCAGCAGCATCAGCATCAGCCTCACTATCATCGTCATCATCATCATCAGCATCAGTATCAGCACCAGCATCACCAGCATCATCATCATCAGCATCATCATCACCAGCTGCATCAGCATCAGCACAAGCATCACCAGCATCATCATCACCATCATCAGCATCATCACCGTCACCAGCATCAGATTCACCAGCATCAGCATCAGCATCAGCACCAGCACCAGCATCAGCGTCAGCACCAGCATCAGCTTCAGCACGACCTCGGCCCCCACCATGTCCTGGTCGCCCCACACCAGCACGTCCATCACGGCGTACTTCCTGTCGCCCACCGGGCGGCGCCGCCGCCCGCCCCGGCCCGCGGCCTGGCCTCTGCTGCCACCCCTGCCGCCCCCGCCCATGTTGACGTCGAGGTCGCCCGCTTCTTCGGCGCCCTCTGCGGGGACCCAAACGCACCCATACCGCTGCTCCCCAGACCTCGCCCGGGGTGCGCTCTGACCAGAAGCTCAAGACGAATGCAGGCCTGGGGCGACGAGGGCCTCCCCGCAGGCCCAGAGCACGAAGACGAGACGAGGCTGGCGGTATCGGTGCCTGTTCTTCCTCCCTGGACCCCCGACGCAGTGTGCTTTTCACAACGCCAACCCCCAAAGGTCTCGACCCCTTCCACGGGACCGGCTTTCCATCCCGAGCCGTTTCTTGACGGCCCCGCGGCCCGGTGAGGGCCCCCCGAGGCCGAAAACTGGGAAAAACCTCCCGTCGTGGCTTTTCCACAGCGCGAGGAGAGGGTCTTCCTCTCGCCCTCCGCCTCCTCCTCCTCCGCGCCCTCCTCCTCCGGCGCCATCGGCTCGCCCCCGCGCGGAGCGCCCCCGGCGGCGGGCCTCGGCCCCTCCATGCACACGACGTCGAGGATGGTCAGCCCGGGGGGCAGCCGGCAGTCGGGGTACCGCTCCAGGATGAAGCCGTTCTTCCGCCGGACCATCACCTGAGCGACGAGCAAGGAGCGGGCCCCTCGCGAAAGTGTTGATGTGTAGATACGTATCTGTGTATACAGTCGAGCTCGATTGGGTAGGACATGCGAGAGGACACAAGACCCTCCCGAAGGCCACATTGCCACTGGAATGTAGGAGAGCATGAGTCGCGAGGCACAGGACACAGGGGTACCCTTGATCTGGCAGGGGGAGACCTACTGATCAGGTCCGACTGTAACCATCTAGTCCCGAAACAGTGCTTGCACTCAGGGGTTCTTTCCTTTTATAAGGAACTGGGCCTGAGTGGCAGTCCGGCGGCTATGTAGACGCCGTCGCCGCCCCGTCGCCGACTCGTCGACGCCCGTCGTCTGGGCCTGTGTGACGCTCTCACCGCCATGCCGCCACCATCGCCACCCCGTCGCCGCCTCGTCGCCGCTCGTCGCCTGGGCCTGCGCGCCGCTCTGGCCGCCAGTCGTCTCGTCGCCGCCCGCTTCGCATTGCGTCGCATTGCTTTGGGTTGCTTTGCATTGCTCTGGATTGCTCTGCATTGCTCTGGATTGCTATTGCTTTGCATTGTTCTGCCTTGCTTCGCATTGCGCTGCATTGCGTTACTTTGCATTGCTTTGCGCTGCTTGGCATGGCACTACACTGATTTGCATTGCTGTCTTTGCGTTGATATGCACTGCTTTGCATTGATTTGCATTGCTGTTTTTTCTGCGCTGAATGTCATTGCGGCACGTTGCTTTGTACCGGTTATCATTGCTTCGCATTACATTGCGGTGCTTCGTATGGCAAGCTGCATTGCTTTGCGAGTTGCGTTGCGTTGCAGAGCTTTGATCCTCACTCCTTCGCATTGATTTGCATTGCATTGCTTTGCATGCCTTTGCATTGTTTTGAATTGCTTTGTTTTGCATTGATGTGTATTCCTTTGCGTTGCTTTGAGTTGGTGTGCATAGCGTTGCATGGCATTGCATTGCGTTGCGTTGCATTGCCTGCCTTGCGTTGCATCTCTTTGCGTTGCTTTGCATTGCGCTGCTTTGCTTTGCACTGCGTTGTACTGATCTGCAATATTTTGCATTGCTTCGCGTTACTTTAAATTCCTTTGCATTGCGCTGCGTTGCATTGCGGTGTTTTTAACTGCTTCGCGATGCGTTACATTTCAATGCAATGATTTGCGCAGCTGTGCATTCCTTTGCATTGCTTTGCTTTGCATTGCTTTGCAATCGCTTTGCATTGCTCTAGATTACTTTGCACTGCTGTGCGTTGCGTTGCGTTGTTTTGCGTTACACTGCTCTGTGTTGCATTGCGTTTCACCCACATGTAGATTGCACCACATGGACTGCACTACCTAGGTTGAACCACATTGATTGCACCACCTCGATTGCACCGCATATATTGCAGGAAATCAGTTTGGGGTCGACGATGGCTAATATAGATAGATGTGTACATGTATGTACATAAAATATATAGTACATGTATGTACACAAACATGCACACATGCACACATACACACATACCTGCATACATTCATGCATCCATTAAACATGCATGCATTCATACCGACATACATACATACATACGTACCTGCGAGCCCATCTACCTACCTACCTATCTACCTGGCTATCTCCCTGTCTACCTCATACATACATACATGCATACATGCATGCATACAGACATAACTACATACGAGCATGCACGCATGCATGCATACATACACACATGCAAACAAGTGTAAGTACTATGTACTTATGTGTGTATCAACCTGGCGTCGCGACTGGGGCGAGCCGACAACGCGGCACACTGCATTGGAAACAGAGGCACTTACGCGCCATCTTACGTAGGCAGCGTACGCGCGAATGTCCGCGCAATCGACCCCGTTTCCTTCCCTCGCGCACCTGCCCGCCCTCGGACAGCAGCAGGCAGCGGTCCCCCTCCGGCTTGACCATCAGCAGCCACGAGGCCGCGAGGTCCTCGGGCGCCTCGACCATCCAGTCCGGCATCTGGAACTGCCTGGCGAAGAAGAGGGTCCGCTGCAGCATCCTCAGTCGCCGGACCTTCCTCACAGGTCTCCCAGATGGGGTCCGAGTTCAGTGGGCTCGGAGGCTCGCGACGCATCGCCGATGCATCGGCGATGCCTCGGCGACGTCAGTGATGCATCGGCGCCGTCGGCATGAAGAAAATCGGGCTCCACGTCGAGCCGCATCGGCGATGCATCGCCGATGCGGCGCGATCCTCCGACCCCACCTGCTCGCACCCCATCTGAGAGGCCTGGATTCGTCCAACCCCATCATCGTCCTTACGACGACGACGACGACGACGACGACGACGACAAGACAAAGAAAACGACGACGACGACGACGACGACGACGACGACGACGACGACGACCGCGTCCTGCAGCCGGCCTCGCGGCCCATGGACACGTCCTGGCCCTCCGGGCCGTCCGCCGCATCGTCCTCGTCCGCCTCGACCTGGACGTCCTCCTCCTCCGCGCCCGCCCCGGGGCCGCTGGCGAGCAGCGAGTCCAGCGCGACCCGCCGGAAGTCCGCGACCCGGTCGGCCCGCGCCTCGCTCTGCTGCGTGGCGAGCGCGGCTCGCCTCCTGGCCGCCTCGCGGCGCGCCGGGGCCCAGACCGGGGGTAGCGAGGTTATGTCTTCGTCGGCTTTCGGCGGTTTTCCAGCCTCGGTATGCGTTCCAGCAGCTGCGCCTTGCCGAGGGCGTTCCAAGGGCGCCCGCATTGTCCCGAACGGCCGCCGGAGACCCGAGCAGTGACCCGAAAACCACATTCAGGCTTATCGGCGACAACCATCGATTCTCCGGAACCGATGGGAGGCGGGAGTAAGGTTCGGATTTCGCCATGTGCTCGACCGATTCCGAGCCCTAACCCCTCACCCCGCAGCCCATCGGGTTGCCCGAATCGTGGATCGGCGAGGGTAGGGTTCGGACTTCGCCGCCAGAGGGCGCTGTGAACAGATACGACGGAAGGCAGTTTGCTATTGTCGGCCTCTGGGGGTCTCCGCTTCAAAAACGGCTCGGGATGAAAAGCCAGTCACGGGGAATGGGTCCAGACGTCCGAGGAACCCACGTTGCGAAAAGATCACGACGTTTGGGGTCCGGGAAAGACGGAGGCATGGCAAATCAGTCACGCGGAAAGAAAAAACTGAGCGACGAAAACGCATGGGTCTTACGCGAGAACCCATCGACAAAACGGATCAAACAAATCCCCGGACAACCACCAGTCCAGACAATCCCTCCAAGATAGAGACTGAAAGCACCCCAGCACGAAGAAAAGGGCTGCTGAAGCAAAAAAAGCAATGCATACTTTTCGCGCGCCCATCACCTGCAATATCCCTCGCGCAAAACGTGCGAACACTCCTACTACAGCCGCCTTCGCCAGACAACCCCTTGAAGGACCCCGCGGGAATCCGGACCGCACACCTCCCTGGCCAACCCCCCTTGGACAAGGCTCCCCGGGATGACTCTCTATAAGATCCAGCAGCGACCTTACGCCGCGGCGTACGCGGGCCTCCAGCGTGGCACACCGCGTGGAGAAGAAGGCGCGCACGCGCGGCCTCACGCGGGAAGCTTACGCGCGAATGTCGACGCAGTCGACCCCGCTCTCTTCTTTGCCGCCGCTCACCCGTTCAACAGCGCCGATCCTGGCCAGGCCCATACTGGCGCCAGGACTGGTCGGGGCGATAAGTGTGTGGGGTGGGGTAAGCAAACACCTCTCGTGTCGCTTTTGGGCCCCAGGGTGGCCCTTTGAGAGCCCCTTTAGGGCACCAAAGGTGCACCCCTCTTCATCCCCCAATTTATCGCAGCCCCATTGCCCATCGGTCGGAAGAAGTAGGTAGAAACATGCAGTATGAGGGCGTTGAAGGTAGATTGGGCGTCCGCCCAACCCCTAAAGAGGATGGAAAAGGTGAAGCCACTCGATCATTGAAGCAGGAGGGCGCTTAAAGTAGATTGGAATCTGGGATCTCCAAAAATAAAGGGAAATTAGGACACACAAATAAATACACACAAATAAACATTTTCCCCATATTTTCCCATATTTTCTGGGTTTTTGTCTTCCCCCCCACTTCCCATATTTTCCCATATTTTCGGGGAAATCGACGATTAATTGTGTCTGTGTGTTTTTTCCCCTCCTGATTAAAGTAGATTGGAATCTGGGATCTCCAAAAATACCTACTTCCAACGACCGGCGTGCAACGCCCGAAGCGGTCTGCTTCTGAGCGCCCCGGGCCCGAGACTCCCGGGCAAGGGGCCAGCGGTGCTGTGCAGCGGATGTGCCCAGGCAGTGCTCCAGCGCGCATGTTTGAAGGGGCCCTGGGACACACAAATAAATACACACAAATAAAAATATTCCCCATATTTTTCCATATTTTCTGGGTTTTTGTCTTCCCCCCCACTTCCCATATTTTCCCATATTTTCTGGGGAATCGACGATTAATTGTGTCTGTGTGTTTTCTTCCCTCCTGAATATTGTGGGACGCACAGGACACACAAGTACGACTCGAATAGGAGGTTGACTAACCACGTTTTCGTATTCAACGTTTCGACAGTGCACGTTCTTATTGGGCGGAAGAGGTGGGGAGGGGGGGGTCTGGCTCCAGACCTCTGCTTGGTGCGACAATTTGCACCACTGCGTCCCATGGGGGAGACTCCATCCGCTTGAACAAGGGGCGAGGGCCCCCGCCGATCGGCAAAACCATCAATCAGAAAACGACCACCTACAGAGCTACTTGACCCCAAAATGGCTTCTCGTCGAGTCTGCGACAACAGAAGAAACGTAAAATGTGTCGCAGATCTGCGGGGTATGCTGCGCACTCCTTGTAGATTTAGTTCGGGCATGTCCTCCTACAGGCGGACTTTGGACGAACAATCCGCCGACTCTGTCGGCGTGTGTGAGGGGCTTCTCCGTTCGACTCGTCGTCTCCGTCGTCTCCGTTCTCCCCCTTCCAGGGCTCTCCTCCTCAAGCGCGCTATCCAAAGCGAAATTAAACGACGTCGTAGTGGAGTCGAAGGGAAGCCCCTTCCCTTTGATCCCTTCCCCGCAGGGGGGGGGGGGCCCGGGGCAGATACGACGCCCGCCGGGGCGCACTTTCCTCGAGCGGGCACGCACGG